GTACTATAACAATATATTGATATTTTAAATTGCTATGAGGTGGACTGTTACAAGCTATTGTACTTTCATATTAATACATTGTATTTTATTTTAATTAAACAGGTTACACAGGCAACCACGCTGTTCCGGCAAAATAGCAATAGCAGAAAGAACGGGTCACTCCAGTCTAGCAAATAGAAGCTACAAGCGGACGAGCAGACTAAAGCGGTGTCAGACGCATTGCAGCCACCCAAACCGAAAATGGCGAAAGAAGCGAAAACGCATGACATATCCACCACCCCAACAGACGAGGACAAATCTAATACCACTGTCATAACCGATTCTTCCCAAGTGTCCGTGAATTTTGTAAAAGGAAATATGAAACTTGAAATACGTTTTTAAAATGTATCATATAATTATCATTGTGTATTTAAATAATTAAATGAAAATTCCACCTTGTTCTTTGTTTTCATTTAGTGGCCACCTATTATGTTAATCAGCTTTCCACTCCTGTTGAGCTCATGAATATTTAAATTAACCCATTCATTATTAACAGTCCCGGCTTGTTAATCCATTGATAAAACAGTACCGTTAACAGGAATGCATAATTAATTAGGTTGAAACTGTCCGAAACTAACAAAAGTAAGAAACATAGTTAGAACAATGGGGACAAGACAAAAAGTAGTATAACTTTTAATATAGTTGCGATATGAACTTGATTAAAGCATGTTCCCATATAGGGTTGTGTTTTAAATGGAGTTTAATTAAACTCAATGACAATGCAATTCAACATAGCATTGCGTTTTAATTAAGTTTAATTAAATAAAATTTGAATAACCGTGACTGAACATAGAAATGTTTGCGAAGCTTAGGTTTAGTAACGGGGGAAAGTATGGTACAATTATATTAATATTAATATAAACTGAACCATACAACATGTACCTTCCCCCTTTACTAAACCTAAGCTTTGCAAACTTGACTTAAATTTGATTAAATATTATTATAAATTATGAAACATTGTGAGTTCCCATGTGTGCGGCTCCACTGGCTCCACTTCTACTTCTATACAAACACACAAACACACACACACACACATACAGACAGGGTAACTGCAAGGACTACTATTGTGTGCTTCCCACACAGGAGTCAAAAACTGTTTTAGTTAAAGTGACAACAACAACAACAAAATATTATCTTTCCTTTATCTACACTGACACAGGCATGGTAATAAACCAAATAGAACATGTACCTACCTTCTGGGCTAAGTAACATGGCTTCTCTCAAGTCAGGAGAAGGCTCATATGTTTCAATAACTTTCTCCACCCATTCATCTTCTATATCAGTCTTCTGTTGAATAAAACAAACATTTGACATTATTTTAAATAAAAATTAACACATTCTCTTGATTAAAAAATCTACATAATGTATAATTTTTATTTTTACCAAATTTTGCTTCACACAATTAAGTCAAAAACAACATTTTTTAACCAAATAAACAATAAAACAAAATATTTTGGAGACTGTACCTTTTGTTCCTCTGTCATAAACATTTTGAGTTCCACCAAACTAAGACTAACACCATGTTCTGAGCTGCCATCATCAGCAAAGTCATATCTAGCAAAAATGATTGAAATAGCTTGAGTTGAGATGGCAATGGTGTCTACTTACTGATCCATCCACACTAATTAACATGCTGTATAAAACATTTTACAAAAATTTGGCCAACATTTTATTTTCAGCAACAGCTTGCAATGAGAATCAAATGGCTGAAAATTTCATATCAATAATATTTCTCTGTTGTTCAAGAGTGAAGAAAACTGAAATGGATCAGTTATTTTGAATCAGAACTTAATAAATAATGCACATTAATGTACATGCACATAATGTAGTTGTGAAGTTTGATTGCAACCCGTCAAAGTATGTTTTGGGCTTTGGAACAAGTAATCGATAATGCAAATGTCTGTCAGTCTGTTGTTTTGAATTTGATATGAAAAACAAAATGATGAACATCACGGACCCAGTTTTGGGAATTTATAAATATCATATATTAATAGCTTTTTTGAATATCAATAAATTTTCCCAAATTTGTCTGAAAAATGTTACAAGCAATTATGTTTGTTCATAACTACCAATAGTATTCTGAAGATCACTTACATATGGGATGATGGTCGTACTAATTAACGCGCAGGCATGCGTGAGAGTGTCTGGAAATGTGAAGGGGCGAACAGTGGGAATAAATGATGTGTGGGTGAGCACAGCAGCAATCCTTTCACTATTGTTGAATGCTAACCAACATGTCGACTCAACTTGCAAAAATTGTCCTGGCTTCGATCATACAAGCAGCCTGTCAGCTGAGATAGCTCCGCTTAAAGAACAGAACTATGTATAGTATTGAAGCAATCGGACTTGCTGTTTTCAACAAGAATTCAAAAATATCACTTTTCACCAAAAATCATCAAAATTAGATAATTAAAGATATCACCACGGAATGAACAAATCTGAGAGCGGTCCACATGTAGTACATATATGTATAATATCAAAGCAATTGGACTTGCGGCTTTTATCAAGAAGTCCAAAATATCACTTTTTACCAAAAATTACAAAAATATTCACCAAAATTAGATAATTAAAGATATCATCATGAAATGAACAAATCTGAGAGAGGTCCACATATAATACCTATATATGTAATATCAAAGTAATCAGACTTGCGTTTTTTTACAAGAAGTAGAAAATATCACTTTTTACCAAAAAGTACAAGGATTACTGCCACTGACCCGCACGTCGCTTATGCCCCTCCCCAATTCATCCCCACGCGTGTCCGGACACTCCCACATGTACCCATGCATTAATTAGTAGGACTGGGGCAGATAATTGTAGGTATAAAGTCACATGACACATTTAATGTCCAGTTTGCTCAATAACTGGTGACAAAATACACCCCAAAATATCTCATATGAAAGAGATGCATGTGAATTATTTTAGTGAAGAATGCACTTATGTTAGTGTCAATTATGATATATACAATGCACTGTATAATTCAAAATTCTGTGAATGTTTTTATATACACCACTTTTCATAAAGCCATGAATGTTTTTTTTTTATTTTCATAAAAGTTTATAATAAATTTCATATGATGGTTGAAAACACCTCCGCTCAATATAAATATTGATAAATATTGATAAATATTGATAAATATTGATAAATATTGCCCATTGCTATAAATCAAAAGTTTTGATCCAAACTGTAGTGATGATAACTACTGTATTTGCTCTATTAGTAGTACATTACTTATAAAAATGACTTGTGTTTATGATCAAAATTAGTAATATTCTTTTAATGATCCAATATAAAATATATTAAACTGTTGGTTTACATGCGCTTCTAATAGAACAAATATTGTACTTGTAACACAAATATAATGTATCGGTATATATAAAATTATACAAATAAATAATTTGAAATGTGATGGGATCTATCTTCTACAGAAATTAGCAATAACTGAAGTCATGGGCTTTTTTTAGCTTATATGAAGGCTACTTCTGCTGATTTTATTGTGGCATTGTGTCATTGTCCTTTGAATTTAAAAAGATTTCCAAGGGTAAATATTTTATAAATTAAAAAAAAATATAAAAAAATATTCATAGCTTTCTGGAAAGCATAGCATGTGTTGAAATTAATGATTGTATTAGTTATTAGAATTGAATTAATTCTAAATATGATGCCATTTAATGTTACATTATATGCTGTGTACAAAGACATGATAATGAAACCACAGTGTAATTATAACACACTTCTCATTGAACATTAGTGAAGAAAGAAATGTCAGTGAAGCATTAGTGCTTGAAACAGTTATGATGATTGGTTAGCTACCAAGCACAAATCTGCAAAAGTACTTTTTCAACCAATAAGGAGTGAAATGGGAAATGAAATGGAAGAGAAAAGGAGAAAAAGATAGTTTATTGGTAATAGCTCAGAACTCAGGAAATAATATTTCTAAGAACTTACGAATATCTTAGGTCATGGAATGACAAACATACAGGGTGATAATTGGATGAACATATACATATAGAAGAACAGAGAAAAAACAATATGGATCAATAAAACAAATAATAAATGCTATTATTATATATCTGTCACCGTAACGCCATAAATTACAGCGTGCCGTAATTTTGCAGTATTTTATGGGGTATTTTCATCCTATCATATTAGGAAATGCGAATTCCAAATATGGAATGATTATGCACGTAAGTGTCCTCTTATAATAAAAACAAACATGGCTGCCACCAGAGTTTGACAGGACTCCACACAAAGAAGTTCGCTGATTCTGTTTTAAACATTTTGGATTTTGGCATTCCCATGGTGTATTCTTGGAAGGATAATATACATTATAGACTTATATATGACATCACAGACTGTATACTGATATATATTATAGACTTATATATGACATATAGACTGTATACTGATATATATTATAGGCTTATATATGACATCACAGACTGTATACTGATATATATTATAGACTTATATATGACATATAGACTGTATACTGATATATATTATAGACTTATATATGACATCACAGACTGTATACTGATATATATTATAGACTTATATATGACATATAGACTGTATACTGATATATATTATAGACTTATATAATGACATCACAGACTGTATACTGATATATATTATAGACTTATATATAACATATCACAGACTATACTGATATATATTATTGTCGTGGATGCTTATCCACTTGTGTTTTTCCTCATTGATTCATATTTGTTCTTGTTTATTCAGTTTTATTCTTTCGTATTCGTAATTTAGTTATATTATTAGATCATGTTTTACTGTATCTTTTCGTCCTTATTTTATACAATTCCAGACTATATTAGCTGAGATACAACAATTGAAAGTTGTTACGTGTCTGAAATTATACCGTAATGCATGTATCTCTATTGTAAAGAAACACAGATTCGGTTTACATAAAACAGCGTCCGGATTACTTTCGGAAATTCCGTCGCGTTTCGGAAAGTTTTAATTTTCAAAACTTTTGAATATTTATTTGTGCTTTTAGGTTAGTGAGAAGGTTATAATAATTCTTCATTTCACTTTAACACTGTTTTTACACCCC